AAGATTTATTTCCTCTAGATATTTTAAATTTACCTCTTGTGCACTCCTCCCACATGGACTCCCTCACTATGCACAGCACAACGTCATCACCAGAACAAATCCTAGCTTCTGTAGGATTTGTAGCTAAATTTAAAATTCAGAGGACGTTAAAAAATACATCTTTCATCAATATATCTTTCAACTGCTAACTCAAACATGGAGTTAACCGCACTGATTGGGCTGTAAAATAAGACAACAGATGCTACAGGTATGCATGCTGATGAGCTGAGATCGGGGTTTTCCCAACTTCCCTTTTTTTTAATTAAAGCAAGATGGTTGGATGCTTATGAACTGATACAGTGATTGCAACTAAAAGATCCATTACCTCCTCCCATTTCATCTACTTGAACACAAACATCAGAGCATGTGGTTGCATTGTGTTTTGCATAAAAAGGGCCAATAATGATTTGGTAATTTTATTTGTATGTTGTTTTAAGGCTTGCCAAACAAAGAGACATTAATACCCACTAAATTAACAAATCAAAGAAATCACAGTAATCTCCTATTAAACAGACACTTTCTTGCTACTTGAATCATCCCCAAATAGCAAATTGCCTGAAATAAAACTCATTAGAGTGGTAAACAAAGTTCCATTAGAGACAGTGTTTTCCCTTGTGACCAAAATGAGAATATTTATCAAAAAAATAAAAAAGGAGAAGACTCACGTTTGTCTCTCATATGTAGTGGCCCCAATAATTTAAAGAAAGTGAATGATTCACCTTCCACAAACTTGCACAAACTTCCTTCTTTACATGAGTGTGTGCAAAGAAACAGCAGGAAGCAACAGCTACAGACAGAATTTAACCTACTGTGTCGTCTTTGTGGTTTTTCTCCTGGCAAAAAGTAAGACGAAGTTCTTTTCCCCAATCTCAGCTCCGCAGTTGAAGATCTCCTTTGGCTTTTTTATCCTTCAAGACACAGTTAAACCTCCACTAGAAAGGGGGGGGGGGAAAGTTCTGGCCTATCACAATGTGTCTTTTAATTAAATTATTTTTCGCTGTCTGGCTCTGAACGGTAGCAAATCTCAGAAACAACACTAATTAGGTTGTCTAAGTTGCGGCAACTGTTTGCTCAGTCTACAGAGTTATCTTTTATTGACACCCGGGAGCCAATCGGAAGTTACTCTTTTTCTTTCACCAGTCACATATTAAGATGTGTGTTGACTAGGTTTGAGAGAGAGAGAGAGATAAGATGTTATTTGCAGAAGAGCCTTGTGTAAGCTGCCACAATTTATTTCTAAGGAGCTTTAATCAAGGCCTCGCTTGCTTGGTGCAACCCGCTGCTGTCGACTGAAGTCTGCCACCACAACAGCTAACCAGAAGTAAAAATAAAAAAAAAACTTACAAATCCGTGATTACCGGATTAACCGCTAACTTTTTAACGTTACTTCAACATTTGTGAGATAACTAACAGTATCAGCCCATAGGCTGCAGGGCCACAGAGAAATAGAGGGGCCCACTGAGGCTGCTTACCCTCCCTGTATTTCCTACGCAGTTTTCTGTGGACGTTTTTGACGACTCCCGACAGTTTCTCCTGCTCCTTCTTGCACGGTGCTTCACTTGGAATTGGCACGTAGAATAGCTCCGACTGGTTTTCCGTCTCCCCGGTCTCGACATTGTCCCTGGGGTCCATAGCACCGTACCACCGATGTTACCCTCCACCAGTCGTTTCCCCTTTTCCAGGCTGCAACCCGACCGGCGAACCGGCGCACGAGCCAACAACAGGGAAGCCGATTGGCTACCTGGAGCATACACGCGTCATAAACTGACAGCGCGTCATCCAATCACAGGCGTGGAAGCATTCTCGAGCTGGCGTGCGTGCTGCGAAGCGTTCAGGTGCATTTGGAAATCTGTAAATTGCTGAAAAATCGTAAACAACACATCAGACAGTGTAGTTTTGTGTTTTGCAAAAGTTTTTATCTACAAAAGAAAACTAAACTTTTTAGCCAACTGATTTATTCGTTTAAACCCTAAAACTATTCAAAGATAGTAAATTACAAAAAATGTATGTTCTTAGACAATATCCCACTGAACTGAATAACTTTTTGTGTGTTTTTGTCTTGTTTGCTTTCTTTTATTAGTTCTCCAATTAAAATATTGGACATGTGTTGAAGAAACTACTGGAAGCACTTCCTGTAAAATAAAGTTGTTAGCATTATGTTATACAAACCTTGTTCTGAAAAAGTTGGGACACTGTATATTATGCAAAATGACATCAACGTCATCATCATCACAATACACAGTATCACCAACAGGTGATGAGACTCTGGAGAAATCTCTGTGTGCAAGGAAAGAGGCTGAAAATCAAAAGTGGATGCCCTATGGCAGCACTGTCATGTAAATCACTGCACGAGCTCAGGAGCACTTCCAGAAATATCTCTCTGTGAACACAGTTCAACGTGCCATCCTTATATATAATTTCCCTTCTTTGTATGAAGCCAAATGATTTTTATATTATAACAGACCCATATATAGGATCTAGTCCCCCGCCTCCAACCCCCATCATGATTTAAGACAGGGTGACTGGAGAGGATGTTCTGTCCTGTTAAATGGGATAGTCTGAGAAGGAGCATTTCTAAAGCTGTACAGATATTAAACCTTTGAAAAGATGATGCAATGTTTTCTAAAATAGGCTAAGAATTTGAAAACCCACAAGTGATGCCAATCCATGGTTATTGTTTCTGGAAATTGGCTTGGAAAATGCTGATGGAGAGCATTATAGTCTGAGATGGTAATTTGACTCTGGCTAATGAAAACAAACTGCCACTGTCTGAACAACAGGGGAAAAAGTTAAATACCATATATGTCAATGCTGTTTGCAGGACAACATCTATTATTAACTGCATGTTCAGTCATTTCAGAATATGAGGTAATGCCTTACAGTTCACTGACCTCAGATGGCGTCCATAGTTACCAGATCTATGTCCAATAGAGCGTGCAACAGAATATTCACATCATAGATGTGCAGCCAACAAATCCACACTAACTGTGTGATGCTATGTTAATAGGGACCAAAATATCTGAGCAGTGTTTCCAGCACCTTGTTGAATCTGTGAATTGAGGCAGCTCTGAAGGGATAAGGGGAGTCCAACCTGATTTTAGTACAGTGTACTTTATGAAGTGTTTGGAGAGGGTGTCTATTTATTTGCAGTTTAAACACAGATTTCATGTGAAGTGAGGACAGCTGTAGCTTTATTTAAACGTTTGTTGAAGTTATAAATTCTTAAACCCTGTGACAGTGAAGTATTTCTCTCTCCCAAAATATCACACATCACATGGTGGCTAAGGCACTGTTTATTTAGCTGGAGATATGCTTATTAGATGTACTGTGGAACCCGAGACATGTACTAATATTTTGGTGGAGAAAAAAATTGCCCTATGAGTTACAATTTATTAAATTGCATCTCATCTCGGTTTAAATGATTTTTATTGTATCAATTTGATTTCCCCTTGCTTCTAAAGCAATTCTATGCTTCATAAAGTGTGGCTCACACAATACACAATATAAATCATAAATTTTTCATGCTAGTATTTATAATGAAACGAACTTTTAAAAATGCATTATCCCCATTCTCACGGCACATTTGATTTATCATTGTATCCGAGTAAAAACATCTAAAAAGAGGTCAGATAGGCACCTGTTAGTCTGGCAAAGACGACAGTTGCCTGACTTCACTTTGTAAAAGTTATTAAACAATCCAAGAGGTATAGGGTTTAGTCAACATGCCAACCGGGCTAATAAAACTGCATTGCTATTGCTCTAAAGGGTTTACTTCTGAGAGAAACACCTTTTTAGGTAAACTAACTGGGTATTTTCATGGCTGCAAACTAAACAAAGTCAGTGAGCTTCCAGACAAAAGACAGCATTACAACGTGTTTCACATGATACCTCGGAAACATCCCGTCTTTATTTAGAAACACTTGAAATCAAAAAGAAGCCCCTGTTTATACCTTTTGTGTGTCCGGCTTATAAATGTTATGGTGTTTCTTTTTAAAAGAGAACGCTAATCCTTTTTTCCCTGAAGTCATACAGCAGCTGTGTTCAGCTTGCACAGCTAAAAGTCAAAGTTGAAAACAAAAGTTACGGGTCCAAGTGACTTGATTTCTATCTGGGTTTATTCATTCATCCCAGGAACTTCAATGACCCCACTCAAACCATTGGGGTGAGTGTGACCTGGCCAAAGAAGATACTAAACCCTGAGTTGCTCCCGGTGCGTTTACTGGACTGTAAATGTTAGTTAAAAAGCACTTAGATGCAGGAAAAAAGTGATGTATCTCAGTATCATGTGTGTGTGTGTGAATGGGTGTGGCATACGGTGTTTTGATAGCTTGAGCAGAAAAGCACCATTTACCATTTACCTCACCTCAGGTGACCTCAGTCGGTCACATGATGGATTGGGGAAAGGTCTCATAGTGGTTTCAGCCCTTAATCCCTGGTAACAGTAATGACTCATGCCTTTTACCGGAGTCTAAATACTTGGACCCTCTACCATTTTTTAGAACCGAAGAAGCCTCTTGGATGATTAGAAAAACATCATCACAAACCCAAAGAACTCCAATTTCCTTCCGTTCCTTAGTCTCTCAAGACTACCCTGACCTGGATGAATCTGCACATGGATACTGATTTTAAGGCTACACCTAAAAAAAAACAAAAAACATGCACATGACATCTACACTAAAAAATAAATGTAGTATAACACAAAAAATATTTCATTTTTTAAGGCATGATCGAAAAATTAAAATTAAAATTAAACATCCTCATTAGCTTCACCACCTATTATTGTATCATAATAGCAGCACTATGAGTTTTTGTGGCAGTCACACACACACACACACACACAGAGCACAGTGAGTAGTGTATTTCACCCTGAAAAAGCTGCAGAACTGATCAATGTAACCATTGTAATGTAGGTTTTATGTACAGTGAAGCATTGAGAATAATGACTTATGACAGCAAACAGGTAACATCCTCCCACAGGGAAGAGACAACATTTATTCTGACGTGTGTGATATCTGCCTAACTGTGTCTTCTTGAGCTTAATTTGGACTTCTGCTGGAAATCTACTTCCTAACTCGTGACGTAACTGGAAGCCCCTTTTCCCCCTACACCACATCCATCCACGCTGTTCGAGTCGATGCTGCGACACCCCGACATGTAGTTACATTTCGGTGGGCTTGCAGCAGGTTGCGCGGAAGGTTATGGTGCAGGGTTAAAGGAGTTTACAGCATAAGTAACAGCATAGATCTCCTGCAAAAATCAGTCTAAATCATGCATTAGTCATCATTGGTTATAGAAAAGAAGAATTGGGTATCACATCAGTACCATGTACACTCTGAAAACCTTTAAAATCAAACAGATTGTTTTTTTTAATTATTATTACATTTTAATTCAGCCCATTGTGTTGTCGTTTTTAACTGGTTACTTCTCTTCTCGGCAGCAGAGCCAAACCACAGATATCAAGTAGAGGCCCAAACAGGCAAAAAAGTCATAATGGTATGCCACAACTAAAAACACCACCAGCAGGGTTGCATATAGCAGTGATTTTGCAATATTGCCACAGGAAAATGTGTCTGTCCAGGACAAAACACTCTGACCCATGCGCTCCTCTGCCAGGGATACAGCGGCATTGTCGGCAATCTTGCCGTCTTCAAGCTTCTCCTGAAGGCGACTGAGGTGTTGTTCTTCATCCTGATATTCAGTGATGGGTGGCATAGTGGCAGACAGCAGTTTGGTTCTGCTTAGACGGGGCCTTTTGCTCACAATGCTCTTGTCTTCGTGGGACCATCCTCCTGTGCCGACGGCCCTCAGGCAGTGCATGTACAGCTCCACCTCATCGCCCGAGTCCGACTCTGCCGAAGCGCTGTCCTGGCTTGTTTGATCACTTTCAGGTTCATCCGTTAAAGCGCCCCCCTCTGCAGCGGCACAACCATTTCCATCTTCTGACTGAGCTTTTGTGGTGTGAAGACATTGTTTTTCAGTTTGAATGTGTGCACTTTGCTCTTCTCCTATACTTTCTTTCACTGGTACGCTCTCGTCGCCACCCTCCTGCCTGCTGTTCACCAGAGCAGATAAAACCTCTCCATCCTTGCTTCCTGTAATTTCTAACTTCTCTTCCAAACACAGTTCTGGATCTTTTTGTTCCTGTTTCGCCACACATGAATGTGATTCTACAAGCTCCGCCTCTACTGCTCTGTAATTTAGGAATTCGTAATGTGGATCCAGCTCCTCTCCGTTTCCCTCCTTTGGTTCTTTCTCCCGGTCTGCTCCGCCTTCACCTTCCTTATTCAAGTTTATTTTCCCATCTCCCTTTATCTCCTCATTTTCTTGGATGTGTGCCCATTCAATACTGACCTCTTTTCCTGCAAAGTGTTTTTTTGTGTGCAGCTCTGTCTCTACTGGTCCCTCTGTTTCTTGTACTTGGTTCTCCTCAGTTAATTCTTCCCTTCCACCTGTTTTGTTCATCTTTATGACTTGAGCACATTCCACCTCAGTACTGGCACCATCTTCTCCAGAGACAGCCTCTCCGATTGTTTCGCTGTCCTCTTCTACTCCTGTCACTGCCCTCCCCTTGACAAATTCCTCATTTGCAATTTCTTTTTCTCTTACTTCACAGACGCCCGGATTTAAATATACTATCTCCTTTTCTTCTTCGTGTATTAAAATGTTGTTTTCTTCTTCTTTAACCATCATTTCCCAGTCCTTCACTTCAGTGATTTCTCCTAAACAGAGACCCTCCTCCTTAGCTTTGATTTTGCAATGCTCTGTTTTCTCCTGTGTCTCTGTAGTCACGCATTCAGCCAACTCCCCTGTTACCTTAGTTTCACCAGAGGATTTTGATTCATCTTTGAGTGAGCCGTGTGTCATTTTACTGCCTTCTCCCATGTTGTTAGTTTCTCCTCGAGCTTCCAGAAGTGTCTTGGGTGTTGTGAAATCTGATTTCTCCACAAGTTTGCAATTAGGAACAGTTGCTTTTGTAACTGAATTGTCATTGTGGTGCAAATTCAACTTATGCAAGTCTTCACATGGTTTAACCTCACTAAAAGATGCGTTACCAGGACACAGAGCTTTGATTAACTCACATTCATGGCGTTTTACTTCTAAGCCGCCGCTCTGTTGGTCAGGTCCTTCATTAACATGTCCCAGCAGGTCCCCAGAGGTTTCAAGTTTTACAAATGATGTTTGCGGACTGGTCCTGACTTCATGTGTATCGCTTTTTGCGTGCGTTTCATCCAGATTAGTTTTATCATGTGTACATGGATTCTCTGGGAGTGGACGCTGTGTTGTTTCTGCTGTAATTTGGCCTTGGGGGTCATGTGTTACACTGTCTTCCTGTGCTTCTCCCCAGGGATGTAAACTCTCAGCCGGTATTTGTGGATTCAACAAATCTGCTTGCGATAAAATGTTTACAGTCTCAGGACAGCTTAATGTGTCTTCTAAACAAGTTCGTGAACCCTTAAGTGTGCTTGTGCATCTCCGGTCTGTATTTTCAGTCCCAGCCAGAACCTGCAGAGTCTCTGCATTTAATGTCAGACTTAAACTTGCTTCTTCTTCAACACGATTATTGCATGGTGCTATGTCTGTGCATTCCTGGTTTGATTTCTGGTTATTAATCACATTTCGAAGTGCTTTACTATTGTTACTTTTAATATCTGTTGAAACAGTGCAACTAATCTGTCTCATGCCAGTGTGAGGATGTAAGCCTCCGATATTCAGTGTAGCCCGTGCAGGATTTTCCCAGCCAGCTCCTCTCTTACTTTCACTTCCCACTCTGCCAAACACCTGGTGATACAGTGGAGCCACCACAGTGCCAAATGTGAAGCTGCTGGTCTGGCCAACAAGGCTTTCATTTCTCACTGCTGTTCTGCTAATGTATTCATGACCCATGTCTGCCTCCTGACTACTGTCCTGAGATTTGGTATGTTGCTGTTCTGCTTGAGCAAAATTATCAAACAGGTCATCTTGGATGTCCGTGGCACTCTCACCTTCTGCTAATGTGACTGAGGCAGCCAAAGCAATGCTCTCAGATTTCTCTGGCTTGTTCTCAGACTTTCGGTCAAGTGCTGGTGACATAACATGTGAAACACTGAGGAGGGGTTTGCTGCACTTTGCTTGGGAACCTTCTGGTTTGCGGTTGCTCTCAGCAAACAGTTGCACATCTGTATGCCTTTCCTTTGGGGTTTCTTCTCGAGCTGCCTGTGTTACCCCTGGAGGCGATTCGTCTCTATCTGCGTTGTTGGCGTCTCCGTTTCTTTGAGCAAAGTAGTCCCTCACCCGGGCCATCCGTGCAGCCTTTCTGCGACTCCTTTGGCTGTTGTTTACTCCGCTCTCAATCTGTCCACCAACACAGACAGATTCATTTCAACAACATGCCCCTTAAAGAAAACCAAGTGAGGTAAAATTTAAAGTTGCATTTCTCACAACAAGAAGACATTAAAAAAAAAAAAAAAAACATGTCTGACTAAATGTAATTGAAACTGTGAGAAAGCACAAACTGCAAGTATCACTTCTTATTTTTGTTTTTTTAGGTGCACAGCACATTATGTTATACTGGTGGTACCCAACTCCAGTTATGTGACCCTCTCTGAAAAAGTGCACCAGGGTCATGTTAAGCTCTCTGATCCTCCTGCACCTCACAGTCATACCGATCCTTTAAATGCCCTTACACTGCTAATAATACATCATATATGTAGAAAACCTAACACAGTCTACAACAGGGATTTCAACTCATCTTACATTATGGCCCACTTCAGTGTTTCGTGGGCCGGACCAGTGAACTACATGTTTAATCCCTGAGATATTATTAAAAAAAGGGTACAATATTAATAATACATCTCATTTTTTCTACATAATAAAGAAACATTGCTGTAAAATGAAAATAATCTGTTGGGTTGTAACGAATGTTCAGAATGACAAAAAAAGGATAGGAGTCTTTGCTGGGCCGATTGTGGCCCCTGGGACGTATGTTTGACACCCCTGCTTTACAACATTTTGCATGTGAGGATTTACAATGTCGGGACAGAATTGAAACTGTTGCGTCATCAGTCATATCGGCAACATTTTTTTTCCCACTCACCAGTAATTTCTGTCCATGTTCCTCTGACATTCCTGACTGATCATTCTTAGATTTCAAAGTGTCACCCTCTAGTCCACTGTTGGACACATCTGGAGACAAAAAACATTTTATCTATGATCCTGCTGGGCTATCAAAGCAGTTTTCTTCAATTTCAGGTCATTTCTTCATTTCACAGTGGAGAAAAGGTAAATCTTCACCTGCTGCAATATTTCCCTGTGTTGACGACTCCTTTCCTGAACTGTTTTCCACGCTGGAGTTCGAACTGTAATAAGTTAATTAATTAAAAATGCGATCAGTCAGGGTTAATTCACTTTTCTTTTTCACGTAGCTTCAGGTGATTATCGTCAATCAACAAAGCACGTAAGGTGACAGTGCTGAGATACACAAATTGTTTTGATTAAAAAGTGTTAAATTATTAAAAACTTGTAAGAATTTATATGTGTGAGATGTGAAATTATGTATTTTCTAACTGTGACTGTTGTCCATTTCACAAAGTCTAAATTGGTTATAATGTAAAAAAAAAAAAAGAAAGAAGAAGAAGCATATTTCTTCTATTTATATGAGTTATTCAAATTATAGACCTCACATAGTCGTCACCAAAATAAACTTAAGTTACAAAACTAACTAGCAAAGGACATTTTTAATGAATAGTCGATATTTAAATCAAGGCAGGAAATGGCCTTTACAATCTTCCATAACAAGCATAATGGACATTCCCCTGACCATGCACAATTCCTATAATTAAATAAACCTAAAAAATGTGCTTAAAAAATGTTTTATGAAATCACTTTGTATTCTCACCTGGCTGTCTTGAGGCAGCTTTTCTTGTTCACGTTTTCCTTCTGTGGCTGATCGTTTTCCTTTGTTCTGCGGAAACATGACAGCACGTAGTTCTTGTTGGCGTTGTTGGCCCAGAACGTTCCAACAGGTGTTTCATACCGCAGACAAAAGTCAACTCTGGCCCCCTCGTCCCGAAATGGAGGCCACAAAGTGAGCGTGAATGAGAAACAGTCCGTCAGCCCATCGCTGGAACCAGGGATGTACTCAGCCAGGAGGTCAAAGTGGCTGGACCAGCAGTCCAAAGTTGTTCGAACATATATCGCCTTAGTAAAGGAGATGTTGAGGACGCGCACCACCCCTTTTGCTATTGTGGTCCCTGGAAGTAACTCAATTTTTTCCAGCTCTACTTTCTGCTCCTGGACCTTGGTCAGTAGCTCCTCGGCTAATAACGGGAGAGAAAAATTAAGAGGTGAAAGAATGTATTCATCTTCATCATTGCCTTCCCCATCAGATGTGTCATATCCTGGCAGTTTGGGCACGTCCCACGTGTCAAACTCCTTCACTTGAACCAAATTGAGGCCTTTGGCATCTGCGAAGGAAACTCTCCTGGAGCCACACATGAGAGACTCAGGCTCCGAGTCCTCATCAGACACAGAGCTCTTTCTCCGTGGGAGAGGAGAGGATTTAGGCCTGATGCCAATGACCACCTCGCCCTCATCATCGTCCACATCCCAGGAGCTGAGGACTGGGACTCCTAAGAAGTTACAGGCCCCAGACCCTCTTGGCTGTCCCCAAAAATCCATGAAGCTCTCTGTGAGAGACTCAGCGTGAAAATGAACTGCGCTGCTTCTGGCAACTGACATTCATGCTCTGACTTAACAGATGGAGTCAAATTACAGATGACATTGTTGCGAGGGCCAACACTATAAATAGGCCAGAAGGGACTTAAACTATGTGCAGTAGTCTTAGTCTTCTCCTGAAGAGAATGTATGACCCAGTGCCGTATTTGTTTTTTTTGTTTTTTTGAGGGCTTGTATGACCTAATCTAAACTATAAGTTGATAATCATCTAAGTTTCTTATTACAAAACCACCCCAAAGTCTAAATACTTTGTGGACATCTTTGTAGAATCCATGACTCCCAAGGGAGTTATGTTATTTTTACAGGCACATGGAATTTACCATGGTAACTATTTATGTTTTGTTACTTCTGGCCCACAACGGGCTCCATTGCACTTGCATCCTGTTTAAAATAATTTCCAATTTGTAAATATCTGATAATTTAATAGCTGTGAAAGTCTCAAGGTGAGAAACAGTCATTCCACACTAGATTTATCTATTATCCACCTATCACATTGGCAGATACCATGATACAGTTTATGGCTCTAGTGTGTAATATTTCCTGTATTTATCTTACAGGTGACAAATTTGCATAATTGCCAAAAAAGTGGTGAGCGCTTAGTATTAGTGAGTAAAACATGTTTAACAATGAATAAGAATGAATGGTAAGCACTTGATTGATTCGTATGAGACAATGCTTTCGTCCAGGCTGTTAGAGGATGTGATGCAGACAGAATACTTTTATTGCAGTGCTCCGTCGTGGAAGGTAGGGTAAAAATAAACCATGAATACAGAGGAAGGAAGCGTGGTGCTACATATTATTGACACTTTTTACAATATAGAAGAAAAAAAAAAGCAGGAAGTGATTTTGAACATGTACCTGAGACAGAGGAGAGCAGCATCATTATAGAACAAAACATGAAGCAGTATTTACTTTTAAGACAAGTATTGTATTTTGTATGCATTCATTTCTTTTTCTTTGTTCCTTTTAAACATGCTCTAAGAATTTGTAACTCAGTAAACATCCGATAAGGGCAGCATGACAGATGTTTACTGTAAACATTATGTATCAGTAGGTAATGGATAATAGGTAGTGATTTGTAAATGAATGTAGATAATATTATACTACATTATACAATGGGGCAAAAAAGTATTTAGTCAGCCACCGATTGTGCAAGTTCCCCCACTTAAAATGATGACAGAGGTCAGTAATTTGCACCAGAGGTACACTTCAACT